GTATGTCATTGGCATCAGTCTCATCACTCTCAACCCCCTGTGGGCACTCGTTTCCAGCGAACACATTCTGATTAACCAGTCAAAGATAGTGACAGAGCAGCAAAAGACCCAGATATATCATCAATAAAAGCTGAAAGGAGAAATAATACTAAAGTTATTATTGTCAAAAAGACAGAAACACGACCACAATGATCGTTATATGGAAATTTCACATATGTGCTTCAGTCAGCTTACATATTATAACTGAAACATTAAAACTGAAACCTATTGTATCTCTGTTTTACTCTACCCAAAATATTTCATTACGAATTGCCCTCAAATATATTGATCTCTTATTTGCTGCAGGTTATAAGCATTGCTGGTAGATAGCTATCTTTGGCACCAGCCTCTTTCTGCAAGCCGCACAACAAGTAAAACATGTTCCATTGCTGCATAATGCTGAGGTACAGGACATAGAGTCCTTGTTTACAACTAAGTAGTTGTGTGTGTGTGTGTGTGTGTGTGTGTGTGTGTGTGTGTGTGTGTGTATGTATGTATGGTGGGGGGGCATATAAAAAAACAAAACAAGTTTTCCTCCACATGTCTATCTGAATGCCAGCACAACTTTATGCTCTCCTGACATTTGCATGGCAGAGAACTGTCAAACCCAGACAGATGCCAGCTTACAGATAACAAATGTAACACACACACACACACACACACACACACACACACACACACACACACACACACACACTCACACATAAACTGGACTTCACACAAGCAGAGAATCTAAAAATGAAGCATGCATGTGGAGGTTTGTCAAAGATTCCGGATTCTGGTTAGATTTGACACTTTTCATGTGTTTGTTTCTTTTTTGTATAATTAGAAGTATGACCACGTGACTGCACATGTGAAAAGGTCGACTTTGAATGTGCACATTACACAGAAAACAAGACAAGAAACAGCTGATGGATGGCCTCGGAACAAGCCTTTTTTTTTTTTACAACTTTGATGAATTTTATATGATCCATCATTCATTATGGCTGTTTATTGGGCATGAAACGACTTGGTGCTGAAAACGTCCCCCACATCTTGTCCCTCCTTCTCTTAGCAGTTATGAAAACAAATGGAGAGAAATCTCATTTAGAACTTTTCTGTCATTCTTCAGCGTATTCTCCATTAATGATGCAAAATGACACAAAGTACGCTGCCCTGGGGGGAAAACCTACACAGACTTCATTACAAGGTGCTTTTAATTAGCCTTTGTAATTAAAAGCAGAATAGTGGGTGCGTAAAGGCTGGGAGCTAAATTGATATGCCCACAAACATTTGCATGTTCGCTGGTTAGGCTTAGCAAACCGTCTCATTTTCACTCAGTCAGGTCCGACAAGACGCTGACAGTTGCACTGCAGAGGGATTTAAAGGAAAATGTGTATGACATCTGCCTAATTAACTGGAAGGAAGGAGGGGAGCTGAATAATGAGAAAGTGAAAACTAAGTGTAAAGGGTATCTACATATTCTCTCCTATTTTTGTCTGACCATATGCTGTAATATGTCATCTAGAAGGGGCTCGCAGGATAATACTCACCCAAAGGCATATACTATTCACAGCTGTGAGGTAATTGGCAGTGTCAAACTGACTTCAGTACCTTAGGTGATTTATAGGTTTAATAAGTTGAACAGACCTTTTTTTTAAAACTCATTTAAAAAAAATAAAGGACAAAAAAAAGCTTACCACAGGTAACTAGAGCAAGTGGAGTGCAGATCTCAGCAAGGTGTGTTTGTAGGTCGTAAAAAACACACTTCATTTAAACCTAAAACAAACGGCGATGTATGCAGGCAATCGGCTTGAAGTCGTCCTATAAGACATGTCACACAATCTCGCCAAAAAACAAATTAAACTGACCCAGCAGTGTGTGTACTAGTTCTTTTAGCTGTTAGGGGTTGCTATTAGCTCTGTCTCTGGGCGCAGAGTCAGCGATGTCCTCAGCTGTGTTATCACCATGCGGCCCCTACTGGCCCGGGGGCCGGTGTAGAGTAGTGTGTGAGGAATTAGCAGGCAGTCAATTGGAGTATAAAACAGGCAAAGTGTGAGTGACCGAAACCACGAGAGCATATCCATAACTGGCCTCCAAAAATATTATGCAGTTTGCTGAAGCAGACTTTGAGATTCGGCGAGGACAGACACACAGGTGCACGATTGCACGGTTCTCCTGGCGGAGATAATAATATTTTTTCGTACAGGTTCTCACAAAAAAAAGGGGATTTTATCAGGTGAAACATTATTGATGAGTCCGTTGATTATTTTCTTGATTAATCGTTTAAAAAAGATTTTTAGCAATGTGTTGATCAAATAATCGATAAATCGACTTCTCGTCCCTCAGCTATAATATGTTGAATAATATACAAATTCATAGTATACAGCCTGTGTTGATACGATCCCCAAGTGATTGTCGAGACTTGTCTTTTAAAGAGCATCATCCTCTGTTTTAATTAAATTCATATGAGCCAAAACATGCAATCACTTCTAAGAATACAATCTTTGGTTTATCAGCCTTAAAGTTCAAACTCACACAGTATTTGAGCTTGGCTTTGAGTTGATACATTTTTATTTGCATTTTGCATTTCCATAGCAATCTGCAGCTTATTTATAGGCTTCTACTGGGCTGAGCTCTCTGTAATAAACACAGTACCAACACAGTTTCACGGGTCTTTGGAAATTCAGCAGTAGCACATATTTCTCTATGTCGCCCCAATGGTTTGGCCTTATTAATATGTTTTGCCAGGTATAATAAACTGGATGGAAATCCCAAAATGGGGACAATCTTTAAGAGGAATGGCAATGTGAAAGGAAAAAACCCAGAGAATTGGGTGAGATTTATAGGAAGCTCTGCTTGGTGCTTGGTGTGTTGGTAAAAGCAAGCAAAACTTCAATGCAAAACCCGAAACCACTGATGCTTTTATTAGTCCTGCTGAGCGCTGACAGCTTTTGAATGCCTTGAATATGAATCAAGTTTGACTTTTTGCTTTTTCCTTCTGCCATCTAAAGCTGTCCAGTCACATCTCAGGACATTAAATTAGAGTTAAATGACATGGAGCTTGCATGAATCATTAACCCCTAGACTCAGAATTGTGCAAATCCACACTACACATAAAATGGACAAGCTGTAATTAAACCCCGTTTGAGCTGCCAGATTGCATAAGAGCTCAAACTGAGTGTACAGATGAATTTTATTAAATGAGACTACTTTGTTCTGTTAAGTATCTTGTTACTTTGAAATCTGTTTGTTATTTGTGAAAAAGGCAAAGGACTAAAGTTTAGGATTAGTTCAGGAAGCCGGCTAGCTCAGATTGACACAAGAGTGGAAACAGCTTTTGTCCACAGGTAACAAAGTGAGCATACCAGCACCTCTTACGATTGTTGGACATTTTTTATTTCACTTTTGCAGTAACTGACAGAGTTCATTGAAAATGGGATTCGTTAATTTAGCAGCAACTTCTCCATTACTCCTACACCTGCTCTGAAGCCCTCGTACGACTTTATTCAGTCGTACGAGGGCTAACCTCAACAATAGACCTCTCCAGGCTCAGCTGTGCTGCTGTTGTATAGCAACAAGACAATGAAATACAAAGTATTTTTTTCCACACCAAAGTCTCTCTCTCTCTCTCTCTCTCTCTCTCTCTCTCGATGAAATGTATGCTGATTGCAGAGCCTATATAGAGCGAAGCAGCTGCCACTGATTCATTGTAATCCATGCCAGGTGACAAAGAAAAAAGAAAGTAGCATAAAGACTTCCAGATGTAGATTGTGGATCCAGCACATTTTACAAAATGGGTGTCACTAGGTGTTTGCAGGGTGATGTGGGGGAGTGAACGGCGCGACAGTTTAGCCAGCCTTAATGTAAATGAGTGTAATTAGTTAAAGGATGTTAGGCTGGATCGACACCCCATTATGTTGCACGGCACAGTGATTCTGCCAGCGGATGGAAGAGATGATATGAATGACAAGCAGCGCAGAATGACAGGTGCGCTTCTTTTTTTAGTTTGAATTGGACAAATAATGAGCGACTGCATGTGCTCACTGTTGTTGTTGAGTAGCAGAGGTTTATATTAAGACACCACCAAATGGTGATTGAAGAGGAAGCTATTTTAGCCTATTCCATAAATGATCCAAGGTGTTGAGAATGCATCAGGTTCTATGCTGAACCAAAACATCACTTTATGACAATACATTTCTGTCCAGCTAATATCCCCTTTAATAAAAAGCATATGGGTCCTTTAAACTGCCTCACTTGTCAGTTCAAACTGAGACATAATCCGCTGCGCAGGCTTCAGATGAATCTACATCGACCTTTATAAAAACCAACATCTTCACAACATCATTAAATATACCTTTTTGATCTTGCGTTGTATCCCCAAATGATTTCACTGATCCATGTTATGAATTTTATCTGAGAGCAGAAACGGATGTCGGAGAAATGTTGCTTGAGTTTTTGAAAGTGTGTCACTGACATCTAGTGGAGGACATGGATCAGGACAAACAAGCCTTCGTATAAATTATTTATCAATTTATTAAAGAAGTAGTCACCAAGAGTTAATATATGCCATACCTCTAGAAATAAACATGGTAAATGGAGAAACCCACCTGTAAAATTGTTTGAAAATATTTTTTAAAAGTGAATTTTGTTTAATCCCCCATTATTTTCAAACGTTGCTATAACTTTGGAAGGAAATGTTACCGCAATTATACATTAATCTGTAATGTGACAGCACAGTATGCACAGACGATGCACTGCACAGGATCAGATGTTGATGTTTTTGAACATGGGGTAGTCAAACTGTCGTGTGGATTATGATGCTATTATCACCAGCCCTCTCACAGTGAAGCAGGGGTGGAGGCTGTAACTTGACCTTGCCTCTTAATGGCTGTGGGACAATAGTGCCCCGTCCCACTGGCCTGTCTGCCCCTCTGTTGTGTCTATTTATAATGTCCAGACACAGTGCAGAGGGAGGCCAGAGAACACAAGGTGACAGGGGAGAGGAGCAACGGGTGAGAAATGTCCCTGTTATTGTTCACTTATTATTTACTGCATTTATTTGTTGTATTTTGTTGAGCTGAACATGTAATTCCTCTTTGTATATTGATGATAATGTATTTAATCTACTGTACATTTCAATATGAATCTCAAAAAATTTAATTATCCCATTTTAACTATGCATTTAAAGTCTGTATGTCAGAATACACTTTTACTATGTCCTCTGCTTGTCTATTCAAAATGATTCCGACCTAAGAGTAGCAATATCTTTCTTGGAAGAAGCTTCTATCTGCAGTATAAAAATGGGAAACTTGAATTATCTGACCATGTTCTCTAACAGTGTCTTTGGCTTGGAACTCTTCTCAGATGATCCTTGTGTTCATAAGCCACAATGGTAAGTGCATTTATTTTGTGATCAGCATTTAAGATTTATAATAAAAATGTATTATCTCTAAATTGAAAATGTTGTTGTAGCTTTTAATTAGCCTCAGTATGGCCCTCAAAATGTCTATGTTGTGTTATTTCTCTCTTAAGGTGAGGAGAAAGATGCCTGTGGGCCATCATGAGCATTGCGACAAGTGTTACAATGTCCACTGCCAAGTCCCGGTGCAGATCTCCGTCTCATGCATGGTCGTCAAGTGTCTTCATAACTGTGGCGCCACCTTCCACATGTGCAAGCAGGAGGAACACCAGCTTCTCTGTCCCAATGAAGCAGTCCCCTGCCTCAACGTCCACTACGGTTGTCCTCTTACCATCCTGCGCCACAGGCTGGCCAGACACCTGGAGGTGTGTCCTGCCTGCGTGGTCTGCTGTTCTCAGGAGTGGAACCGCTGGCCTGTTTCAGAAACGGATCTGGCCTTCTGCAAAAGTGTTTCGGAAGGCCCTCAAACTGAGGTCAGCCTGGATGTTGCCATTGCTCTGAGGGACCAAGAGCTGCTGTTTCGATCCATCAAAATGAAGAACATCTTCCCTGAGTTGATGGCGGGGGATTCTGCCCCTCAGGCTGGTTCTGCTGGGGTCAACAGTCCTACAGATGAAGCAACCTGTTCTTTAGATTGTGGTGAATTTACAGAAAATGTCTGCACAAGGATGGAGGGAAAAGGACTGAGTCAAGAGGAGAGGGAGGCTTTGGCAAAGAGCCGGGACGTGGATGGTATACAGAACTACAGCTCCTGGGAGAAAATATTCAACAAGGAGATGGAGGGATGCAAGCAAACCGTGAACAACTTGAACAAGAAGGAGAAAAAGGCAAAGGAAGAGCAAGAATCATCAAACCGCCAGGGGGAGACAAGAGACTCCCACCTGAGCCGAGAGAACGCTGCCGACGCTCCGAGAATGGACGGCACAACTGGCCTTGCGCCATGGCAAGACGGGGTCCTCCAGCGGTTGAGCCGGGAAGTCAACATCGCTGAGTACAACATGTACCTGGCGCACAATGGGGCAATGTTGATTGACTTTGGCCAACTTGCAGCTTGCACCCCGAGAGAAAATGATTTTGTTTATGGGAAACTGGAGCCCATCGCGGTTCAAACCATCCGCTCATTTATTGCTCCAACTAGCTATCGAGCAAAGCGCAATTACCTGACGCGTCAGAAGGTCAAGACCAATGCCAGCGTTGACACGGCAGATTTGGGTATTTCGGTCAAGGATCTCCCAAAGTGCGACGAGGTCAGCGCCACGCTCCTGCACTCCCTGGAAAGCGAACTGAGAGGGCATTTAATCTCTGAGAGTGCGGGGAGCGATGGTCTTTACGTAGATATAGGAACGCAAACGTACAACTTTGCCTCTGCGCCGTTCAAAACAGAAGCAACGCTTGCTGACGTCATCGCCGACAAACCCCGCGGTCTTCATGTGCAGGTAGAAGCCGAGTCTGTCACCAGAAGACACAACAAAAGAAGTTCAGCCTTTAGCTACATGTGTGGCCACTTCTTTCGGCGAGATGAATACCGCTCTCATTTCAGGAATGTGCACTGTGACATACAGGCCTCTCTGAGCGGCTGGTTCCAACAACGCTGCCCCTTGGCGTACCTCGGCTGCGCTTTCACCCAGACGAGGTTGCACCCTGCTGGTCATCGAGCCACCGTCAAATTCCGCCAAGAGGTCAGCGCCTTTGTCCTCCAGCCAGATGTCCCTTCAGTCCTCCGTGAAGGCGGGGAAACCCCCAGCCCTCAGAGAAGTGGCACACACAATCTGGATCCCCTGAGCGGATTGCCCCTGGAGATCCTTCAGCACATTGCTGCTTACCTTGACAGTTTTACATTATCGCAGCTGTCCCAAGTCTCCCATCTGATGAGAGAGGTGTGCGCCACGTTGTTGCAGGAAAGAGGGATGGTGTCTCTCCAGTGGAAGAAAAAGACATATTCCCACGGGGGAAGCTCCTGGAAGTGTCGAAAGAAAGCAAGTATCCTTAAGATTCCAGTTGTTTTCTTTCAGAGAATTATTTGGACTATAGAGTTCTGCAGGCATGACTGCTGCAGGCCAACCCCGTAAGTTAGCATCTCACTGGTGCCCTCGACAAAAAGCGAATGGGATTTTATCCATTGGATTTTGGATTATTGCAGAAAATAAACTCTGTGGCAAACACTACTAAAAAGCTAATGTTATAAAAGAACTACACCACGGTCGCATTAGTGCAATATACGCAACAAGGCTGTAAAGGTGGACTAGCCTGCGTGATGGCGTCTCATTTAGCTGCTTGTTAGCAACTGCCTATTTAAGACACGTAAAAGCTTCTAAATTCATTTACTGACGCATTTTATATCGTAAAAGAAAATGATAAAATCGCTTAATCTTGTTTTCGCCACAGACTTTATGTCAGGCATCTAAAGAAAAACCCAATAACAAAATAAAAAAACATTCACTTTGAGACGAGGGAACATGAAGTGCAGAAATGATGGCTCATTTCGGGGTTTCGGACTCAATTACTCAATTTAGTATTTCTGTCAACTGAACTGCAGCGGCATTACAGTATATCTTTTAATAACTTAACTGATCGAGTGCGATGATTCCATCTCGGATATTATTTTGAGCTCAACCTTGTGCACAGTGAAGGGAAAGTAAAACACAAGGCCAAACTTCTATATCAGTATCTGGCACCATTCTGTTTACTGTCATTGAAAAGTTTCCGCCATTCATACAGCGTGACAGCTGCTGCATTGTAAACACTCTCCAGACTCTCCATAGTGCTCTCTAACAATATTACAAACTGTGTTGGCAAAAGTTAATGGGTTCCCACTGAAGCAGCAACTGGAGATTCGCTACATTTTTTTCTGTGTTCTTATCATAGAATGTATATAAAGAGTCTATGGTCCTTATCATTAACCAGCTGCATGTGGGCTCAGGACGTGTGTGGGAAAAGGACATTTGATTTCCTGTTCTGGTGTCCATGCAATGGTTTAGTAACAAGACAGTTGGGCTGAACTTTCATTTAGTTTAACAACACGCTGATTTAGTTTTACAATATATACTTAATTTAAGAAAAAATGATAATAAAATAAATATTAAAAGATAATTTTTATAGACAAACCAATGCTAACAGCATGGTTGCTTCCATTATTCATTATTTCCTTTTTTTGATAGTTGACAGTGGAGAGAATAAAGAAAAATAGGAGGACTCAAAACCAGGGTTGCTGTGTTTACATTAGTCCACTAAACTAGACCTTAGATACCCTGGCTTAGAACGCTAGTCCACAGAGACGCCTAGCTGAAGGCTCAGGAAATCAATACAGCAAATAATAAAAGTATAGGTTTCTTTTCTCCAAATTCCTGCTGACAAGTAAACAAACACACCTTGATCTGTGGCGGCAAACATAACCTCTCTGCTGGAGGTAAATACAGGACAAATATAGTATAAAATGCATCAGTGTGTATTTTTACATCCACTCTCTGTGCCGCAGTGATCATGGGACAAAGAGCCTAACGATGATTTCAGAGATGTGGAATGGCCTGAGGCCTCTCTGCCAGTAAACACAGTGCCACCATAAAAAGTTAGATGGGCTCATTCATGGAAACAAGATGTTGACAAGACTGTGTAGGCGACAGCTGGGTATTTGCTCCTCGATGAAGGGCATCATTTGAATACAATTGTAATGGATGGATACAGAAATAACACTGACATGAGATAAAAATACTCTGAGATCTAGATTCTATGGGTATTGAAAATAAATGTACCCTCGTGGCCACTGCTGCAGTGCGGTTGATGGATGCCCCCAGAGCAGCCTCCTACACCTACTTCAGCTCTGTTTCTGTGTTTTACAGGTTTGGGAGTTCAGCTCTCTGTTTTCTTCTGTGGACAAATGGAGCTTCAGCAACACTCCTTCCATGTCAGATCACCTGAAAACCTGCTCCTTCTACCAGAGAGAGGAGCACACTCAGCCGGTGGCTTTAGCCGGCCTGGGAGAGGTCACAGACAAACATGGAGAAATAATGAGCAAAAGATAGCGCTCGGGGTCCCAGAGCTCAGTGGGCGGACCGAAACGCGATTGAGGCAGCGTTTGGAATCACTCAGACGTGATGTGAATCCTCTGCATGTACAGCTGCTCCATAGAAATAGAGCTCCATAGAGCTGAAGCCCTGCAGACATAAACTAAACATATGAATAATTCACTTTGGCATGAACCGCAAGAAGATTTTGATGTTGACTTATTTAACCAATATTTTCTTGTAATGTAATTTTGCCTGTTAGTAGGGAAAATGCTTAAAGATGGCTCTGTTTATGCGGTGTTATTAGGAGTTGATTGAAACTTAGATAGTCCCTCTGAGAACACTAACTTCACAAAAGTATGGCTGTGGTGTTTGAGAGGGGTCATCATATTCGGTGTTGTCAGATCATTTGCTTTTGTTTGGCGCACTGAGCTGACGAGTGTTGTCTGTCCCAACTTGTTTCATTCTTGTGGTGAACAGCATCATTTCAAAGAATCCAGGGCAGCAGATGTTGCTCTTGTTTGTTTTCAGCATGACAAGACTGACATCTACTGGAGAGAAGCTGAAGTACCTCATCTGTGTGGAGTGGAGACGCATCACACAGGAACAGGACATGTCCTATTTAAGCACAGCAGCGCATGAGGACACGGACAACTTTGTTTCAATTTAGACTATCTTAAAGGAGAATGAGAGCAAATGACGTATGTGTGTCACTGTCATATACCTGACAATAAATGTGCCTTGCAATTGCCGTCATTTATTTCACAGCAGCATTGTCAGTAGAATAAAAAGGACATTGTTAAAAGCTTAAAATGTTCTTTTATTTACCACAGACTTTAAAACAGCAAAGGTGTACAAGCAACGAACTACAGCTTCTCGGACATTTCTGGGTTTCGTAGCTTGTTAATCACCTCTGACAGCATTTTGTTGCACAGGGCTGCGTACGGATTCAGAGCCACGGCCTGCTGCCGAGCAAATTCACTTCCGAGTGCAGCCGCTTTCTCAAAATCTGCCCTGGCTTCATCGCCCCGGCATGCCAGTCTATGTAGCAGGCCCCTCTGCACCAGCGCCTGGCACGCAGTTTGCCCGGCGCCGCCGCTCAGAGAGACGGCTCGGTCCAGGTCCCCCAGGGCTCCTGAGAGGAGACAACAGCACTGTGAGGCACACACAGAGTCGATTTTCAATTTGTAACGTCCTACAGGCTACTCATTCTGGCCTTAAAGTCAGTATAAAGCGATTTAGCTGAATCTGCTTTCAGTTACTTTGTACTGTAGACTCTGCAGTCTATTTACAGTCATTCTAATATTATACTAAATTGACCTTACATTCTGATGTTTTTCACTCACCCCAAAAAATACAGCAGTCTCAAACTCATTAGTTCATTGAAAACATGTACAACACAGTGGTAAACAATGACACTTTCAGATGAATACAGTACTATAGCACTATATATAGATACTGTATGTCTGTGTTTTGTTGGGAATAGCAACAACTGCAACCAGTTTACAGACTAATTAACAGTCGTTTTTTTTTTTCCAGTCTTTTTTTAGCAGACGCTTTTATCCAAAGCGACTTACAATTCAGATTCTATCACATTTCTACACCGTAGGCACAGCTACAGGAGCAAATTAAAAATAGAGACTACAACTTTGGAAACAGACAGTGGAGGTAAAAGGATGCTACAACATTGAGCGCATGGTGTGACTGAAGTGATGAATAATTTCAAGAAGTAAAAATGACAAGGGTTATAACATAAGCAGATACATCGCATAGCATTTGTCAACTGTGCAGCGGCAATGCTGAACATGATGATACACTGAATCTATAAGGGAACACTTTTCATTTCACTGAGGCACACAAAGAATTGTTAAACCTTTAGAGGATCAAGATTTGACTAAATCAAAATACCCTGTAATGCTGTGCATGCAGCGAACACAACACCGTGACTGACAGCACGTAAGAGGAACTTAACACTGGGCAAACTCAGAGCCACTGCAGTAGCACTGCTGACAAAGTGCATCAGATAGACAAAGCTCTGATATGATGTCACGCTGGCCTCAGACTCGACAGTCTGATACAGTATGTCGGCACACCGCGGTGTCTGCGGAGAGGGTTATTATTGAGCTTGTGGCATGTACCTGCTGTGTTCCCCTGCAGCCGCAGGGCCTGTGCCCGGTTGTTATAGGCGGAGGCTCGCTGAGGCAGGATCTGGATTGCCTGGCTGAACAGTTGAAGTGCGGCTTGCAAATCCCCAGCCTCTGCTGCCGAGACACCCCGCATCTCCAACTCTTTCACTTGCCTCAGCAACTCTGTGTCAAAGCCACTGTCTGGCAGGGGGAGATAAACAGGTTGGAAAAAAAGCACTCAAACTCAATTGACAGGTACCGTGGCGAGGAAAACACAGAAATGTCACCCAGAACTCAACTTGGATTAAAATGTCGTGTTTTTTTGGGGGGGTTTTTTCAGTCCAGGAATGGAATGCGTTCAAATGAATTCAATATGCTGTGAAATGATAAACGTAAAAAAGCTGTGACATGATATGTGGAGACACATCAAGTCAGAGGCTCACGCTCACCGTCATCAATTAATTCCTCCTCTTGGTTCAGGCCAGGGATGTCTCCAAAGGGGGTGGTGGGGTTGAATATAGCCTGGAGTACAGCTCTGTCATGTGCAGAGGCCATCTCTCTGTCGTCTGTAACAAGAGCAAAGAAGCAAATCGTCGCACCTAAACTACAGCTGGGTGGAAAATCATTCCTCCCCAAACTTCAGCCATTTCCACCAGCCAATCGGAGAAGGGGGCGGAAGCAGAGGTGGACTTTGAGATTTGCCATCTGTACATGATCAAGTCAAAAATGCAGGCCAGGCTGCACACTGCAGAACTGCTGTTATGATGGCAATAGGGGAACATGCTCTCAGATATATGCTATCTGATGATTTCTGCTCGGTGCAAAGCGATGCTGCCCAAACTCCATGGGATTTGTAGTTATCAAATACTTTGTTTAAAAAAAAAAAAAAAGTTAAAAAAAAGATGCCCAGATATTCCTGTACTGTTACTTACCCGTCCACCCAAATATGGACAGAAAAACCTAAAGAACCCGTTTCAGTTTATCAGATAGACCCAGAAAATCCCTGGCTGAGTTTGACCGGATGAAGGGATCAAGTGGTTGAAGCAAAGGAGTGTCAGCACAGACTACGAGGAACACGAAATACATGTTATTTCTGTTTTTGAAATGTTTGTACAGTTAACAGCCCATTAGCACTGTAATGCTAATGAAGTGCTATTCCACCCATTTATAAAACTGCACCAGCAGTATTTTGGCCCTGCATCAAAGCTAACTTAAGGTGGCATTCAGAACGTGCCTGATATTTGGATTGCTTGTGTCTGTGTTGTCACTGTCACCTGCTGCCAAGATGATAACGTTAGTAGTAACATCATCATCAGGCACTGACTTATGCTGGTAGACAGCAGCTTTTTTAGGGCAGACCAGTAAATACAGGCAGAGACGTGAGAGTACTTTCACTGTGACTAGTGGGTCGGCACTCACCCTTACGCAGTACCTGTGGTTCGTGTGCACCGGTGTTATATCAAAGCCTGTGCCCCCGTCAAACAGCAGCTCATTGTGTCAGACTAGTCTGATGACATAACAGAGTGCTGCAGGGATGATGTATTTTTGCAGGTCAACCCCGGAAGTTAGCGCTGACTTATAATTTGCTCCATGTTGACCGACAAATGCTACACTGATTCAAACTGATGCATCACACAACTATATTCATACTTTATAATATAATACTAAAGCACTCACAGGGATCATTATACTGCACTGTATACTTTTTTCTATTGATACTTTGCTGATACACTACCACACTTACTTATGTAGCATTTTCAATGCAGTACTTGTACCTGTAATGGGGTGTTTTACAGTGTGGCTTTGCTATTTTTAACCAAGTAAAAGATCTAAATACTTCCTCCAACACTGTGTCAGACAGATACAAATGAGAGAAAACTCTTCAGGCCCGCAGGAACAGGGCCTGCAGCAGTTAGCTGCAGACAGTGTGGAGGGGATCTACAGTGAATTATGGAGGAGAAATTCATCAGTTTAAGCCTGATGATCAGCAGCAGGATTCCAACATTGTTTCACATCCCAAACAATGTGGGACCATTACCGAGCAAGTCCAGGAAGCAGCTATTCATCGCAGCCTTTCAGAGTAAGGCTGACAGATATGTGGGACACCGGTCTTGGAGGAAAACTATGCTGTCTGCTGCTGCACTGCCGCCTCCGGAACAATCAAACTGTACCAAGAGAATAGCTTATGTACTCACCACCGCCAGGTTTGATACATTGCTGGCATCAGAATATATGTTTTATAACCGGATCCTGTTGTAGGAGACATCCAAACCAAAATATCATCGCTCAAATCCTGCCTTCTGCTGTCAATGCTAACCTGGACGTAGATGCACTTTGATAACTTGATACAAAAGAAGCTCCTGAAGGTAAGACATGACGTTATATTCCATGAACTGCTTGCAGTATGATCCACGTTTATGATTGGATGTTGGTGGTTTTCTTGTTTTCGAGATAGAGTAGCAGTGGTGGGCTGCTTATCCTCTTCTGCATAGGATAAGATTGTCACTACAGGTTCATCTGCAGCCATTTTGCATTTAGGCCTTGCATGGGCCTATGATGTCACAATATCATATCCTTCAGTATGTGACGGTGTCTGTATGTACAGTGGAATTATAATTAATAAGCAGCTATTTAGGCCTTGTGCAAATCATGATACTTTACGACTGTAAAACAGTGCATCTTCTGGAGAAATGATTATATTCTTGATGATACACAGCAAATAAATCGGACAAAAGTATTGAATAGTGCAAAAACACAGTTGAAGATTGTTTCCCCATGAAATACTAGATAGCTCTATCTCTTCTGGTTCAAATATTCAAATGAATCAGTCCCTCTTTGGAACAGTTCACATCTCACACTGTGACGAAGGATCTCAAATAGGCACTGCTTTCATTGAAGGAGTCACGAGCCAAAACAGCTGGCTGCTCCTGATGTCAGCTATAGTATTTTGATAGTAATCTCTGGCGCACAGAACAGTATTTTGACAGTACAAACAGTTAATCTATGGTACAGAAAAACTATGACTTGGATGATTTGCAAAAATTTGAAATCATGTCTAGACTCATAAAGACAGTATTTGACACTTTTTTGGCACTCGTTGGTCCACCATCTTGCTTTGGATTAAAATCAGGCATTGTATTTAGAATCAAATTAAGATTTGCAATCATAATCTGGCGAAGGGCTCCACAAATTGAATAGATATTCTGAAAATGAAAAGAGAGAGAGGACAGGAAAAGCTTCACAGAATCAGGAGAAATCAGCAGATAAGTTAAGTCAGATAACACATCTGCTCTTTGGGGATCTCCACAGCAACAAGACACGGGTATGGAGGCAGAAAATAACTCTTTCTAAGAGAGGTGTTGTTGCATGTAACAAATGGCAGATAACAGCACCCAAAGGGGGGAAACCGATAGCAGCCAAAGTAAGTGAAATGACGACAGGTGACACTGATCAAAACGGCACGACTGAACATGGAAACACTGCGGCTTGTCATAGTTCTCATTGGCTGAGAAAGTTACCGCAAGTATCTCCGGCAAACGTTTGTGGAAGTGAGTCGCAGAGATGAAAATGGTTCCAGCTCAAAGCCTTTTTCAGTTGTTGCCAATTACCGTCAGCAGTGAT